CTAAGATAGCTAAGTAAATTAAGATATTTTAGAATAAAAAGCTTAACACAAAATCTATAAATAAAAATGCCTTTCAGAAAAGTAAATTATCCAGAAAGGCCTAGTTCTTTCAATCTAAGTCAAGTTTTCATTATAATTTCTTGTAATGATAGGCAAATCCAAGAATAAACTATAGAAGAATCAACCAAAGAAAGCTGGTCTACTTATATCAAAGCTAGACCGAAAACAACCAGACAAAACATGACCAGCTACAGAGACCTTTACATAAAGATCTGTGATTCAGCTCACAAGGCAACAGTTACAATTCTAAACTTGTACACACCTGATGACATAGCTTCATAGTGTAGAAAGCAAAAGTCGATAAAACTATAAAACTAGACAAACGCACAATCATAACACAGATAAGTAGACGCCTCTCATTAACCGATACAGATGATTGAACAAATTTGACCTACTGAATATATACTGGGCAATGGATCGCAAAACTAGATGAAAAAAATGCTTCTCAAACTCACTCGCAATGCTTATAAAAACTGACCATGTATTTTTGCCATTAAGCAAATCTTACATTTCAAATGACTGAAATAATACAGACTATGTTCTCTGACAAGCACTTATCCCAGCTAGAAATCACTAGTAAAAAACATAAGTAAAACCTCACTTCCTCTAATGTACGAAAATTAAAAAACATTCTAAATAATAAAGAGGTCAGTGAGGAAATCAACATAGAAATTACAAAATATTGCGCCTTGGTAATGATAACACTATCAACATTTGTAGGACGCAGCTAAAGACGTAAGAGAAAAAAACCTGACTTAATACGAATATTTTAGAAAAGGAAAATGGCTGGAAAATAAGGCCAATATCCCCCTAACATACATACCAAATAAAGGAAGAAAATAATTAAAGTACGAGAATTATTGACCATGGGCTCCTCTGGGGGTCAAGTGGTTAAGAATTCACCTTGCAACGCAGCGGACAGCAGCTTGATTCCTGGTCCCGGCAGATCCCTCACGCTGAGGGGAGCCCGAGGCCACAAGAGAAGCCCCCACAGTGAGCGCCCATGCGTTGCACCGGAGAGGAGCCTCCTCTCCACGCAGCCAGAAAAAGCCCGAGCACAGCAACAAGACCCACTACAGCCAAGAAATAAAACAAGTAAACAAATCTTAAAATTAAGGAAAAAAGATTAGCGAACAGAAAATGAACAGATAACAGAAAAATGAACAAAGTCAAAAGGTGATACTTGGAAAAGCCTTATGAGACTGGCAAACATCTGATGAGATGAATCAAGGGGGAAAAGTGGGGGGAAGGAAACAACAGTACACATGCTCCTAACATTAAAAAAGATAAAAGAAAGCTATCATCTACTTTATGCTAATAAAGTCGCAGTTTTAATGCAAACTGCCAAACCACTAGAAAATATACAGTGTCCAAAAAATTTAAGAAGAACATAAAACCAAACATCAGTACTCAAATATCTTCCCACAGGGAAAATCCAGTCCCCAAGCTGGCTTATTACTAAGTTCTACCAAACATTTAGGAAGAAATAATTCCACTATTAAAATTTCCAAAAGAGAGGAAAACAGAAGATGTGTTACCACCGCATTTATAAAGAAATTCAATACCATTATCTAACGAAGACAGCCTGGGGAAGTATAACTAGCGGTTAATCTCACCCATGAACACAGATACAAAATTCCGACACTGCATGTGCGCTCAGTTCTATCTGATCCTTTGCGACCCCATGGACTGTAGCCCACCAGGCTCCTCTGCCCATGGGATTCTCCAGGCAAGAATACTGGAGTGGGTCGCCATTTCCTTCTCCAGGGGATCTTCCCGACCCAGGGATAGAACCTACATCTCTAGTGTCTCCTGTACTGGCAGGCAGATTCTTCACCACTGCACCACCTGGGAAGCCCACTGGGATGACAGTCCTACACATAAAATGACCAAGTTAGGTTTACCTCAGGGAAGCTAGGTTGGTTAGCAATTAACGCTACTTGGTAAATGTGGCATCCAATATGTCAATAGATATTAAAAACATCTGATAAGTTCAATATTCATTCATATTTACCCCCACCACAACTGTTAACGAAACTGGGTTCACCTCTTTGTTGGCACCGAGCCAGAAGACACAAGCAGGCTGACCGGTGGGAGGAGAAGGGAGTGAGGAGGAAGCGACCCGAAGCGAGTTTGCCTGCGTATTCACCAAAGGGCTTTTGGTGGTTGCCAGTTCAACCTTTAGTTGACTGAATCCCAGGGGTCAAGATCATCACTCCATCCTCTACCTGGGTGGGGGTCTTAGTTCTTGCAGAACTCCAAGACAGGTATCAGATTGTTGTGCACGTCCCCTGAGGAAGAACCAGGACTCTGTTTTATGGCAACTACATTTTCTTGACTGCAGAGACATCACTTTGCTGACAAAGGTCCGTACAGTCAAGGCTATGGTTTTTCCAGTGGTCACGTATGGATGTGAGAGTTGGAACATAAAAAAAGCTGAGTAACAAAGAATTGATGCTTTTGAACTGTGGCGCTGGAGAAGACTCTTGAGAGTCCCTTGGACTGCAAGGAGATCCAACCAGTCTATCCTAAAGGAAATCAGTCCTGAATATTCTTTGGAAGGACTGATGCTGAAGCCCCAATATTCTGGCCACCTGATGTGAAGACATGACTCACTGGAAAGACCCTGATGCTGGGAAGGATTGAAGGCGGGAGGAGAAGGGGACGACAGAGGATTAGACGGTTGGATGGCATCACTGACTCAATGGTCATGAGCTTGAGCAAGCTCTGGGAGACAGCGAGGGACAGGGAAGCCTGGCGTGCTGCAGTCTATGGGGTCGCAAAGAGTTGGACACAACTGAGTGACTGAACAACAACAGTCTCTTGACTGCTTATCCTCTGCTCCTGCCTTCTCTCACTTCCCTTAAGATCATTAATTACTGAGAACCTGCTCAAGGGCAAACTTTGTGGCCAGGCTTAGATGGCAAAATGGCCTAGGCCCAAAATGGCTTTTTCTTAAAGTTTCACCATGAACTCAGGACAAGTATGGTTAATACATAGGTTGGGGCAGGAGGCAAACTTCCACCCACCCTAGGCCAAGTTCCTGGAGGGCTTTGCACCAGGGAAATGCTTTGCAGAAGTGAAAGGCAACACCAGACATCAGGGAGCTCCCCCCACCCTCCCCCCCACGCTCCGCCCCGCCCCGCAAGCATATCCTAAGAGGAGTACACCTGCCTAGTTGCAGCTAAGAGCTTCTGGGATCCAAAGACTTCACGAAGAAAGCTAAGCCGGGACACAACTGGAAGACATCTGTAACATACATAACTGAAAAAGAAGACTGATATTCAAAATTTATTTTTTAAGAAAACTCCTACAAAGTGGGAACTCCCTGTGGGTCCAGTGGTCAGGACGCCACGCTCCACACTTCCACTGCAGGGGGAACGGGAACTAAGATGCTACCAGCTACCTGGGCCACCAACACATAAATTATAACTTTTAAAAGCTCCTACAAGACAATGGGAAAAAAAAAAAAAAACCAATGAGGAAAACAACTTCGGGACAGACAATTCACAAAAAAGAACACTGAACAAACGCGGGAGAAGGTGCTCAACCACACGCATGCTCACGGAATACGATCCAGCAGTGAAAACTAAACCACAGCGGGGGCGCATGCCGGACGCATTTGTCAAAGGTGTTACCGGAAGCACACAGACACACCCGCACCCCTCACCCAAAACACACGACACCGTGAGCCCAGCTCAAGCCAGGGCAAACCCAATGGACGGCTGGAAAAGGCACCTACAACTAACATGTCGCAAAGCGGGGCAGAGAAGCGGTCCCCTCCCAAGGGGGCGGGCGGAGGGGAAGGGGGCTCCGGACACAGCTTTCTTCTGCTCCTTAAGCAGCGTGAGGAGGACAGGCAGGTTGCCGTGTGGCTCGGTAAACTGATCAATGTGCGCTCCTGTGCACGCTAGATGCTGAAGCTCCGATACTTTGGCCACCTAATGCGAAGAACTGACTCATTGGAAAAGACCCTGAGGCTGGGAAAGACTGAAGGCGGGAGGAGAAGAGGACGACAGAGCATGAGATGGCTGGATGGCATCACCGACTCAGAGGACATGAGTTTGGGTAAACTCCGGGAGTTGGTGATGGACAGGGAGGCCTGGCGTGCGGTCCGTGGGGTCGCAAAGAGTCGGACACGACTGAGCGACTGAACTGAACTGGACACGTTAGACGTCCTGTACACGACGGGACAGGAAACCACCAGAGCGGGAGAGGCGCTGCGACGGGAGCTGGAGGGCGTGTAAACGAGGATGGTGCCTCAACGTTTTGAAAAACTCCTTATTTTGCGCAAAAAGTGCCACAATGTACCGTTAAGGAGGGAAAAAAAAAAAAAAGAGGACAGACCCATTAAGGAGAACGAAGCGAAAAACGCGAGCGTGTGGCAAGAACCCGGAGCGCCAGGTGACCCAACCGGGCGGAGACCCCAAAAGCTGAGAGGACCGAGGCCGGCGCCCCGAGCCCCTCAAGCGCGGGGAGGGCCAGGGAGGGGGCGCGGCCGGGGGACAGAGGGTCCGAGGGGCGCGAGCGGAGGGGAGAGGCGGCGGCGCGCGAGGGGGCCGCGAGGGCCGGGGTCTGGCGTCCGCACCGCCGCCCGCCTCACCTCGTCCACCGTGCGACGCGGGAGATGCAGCGTCCCGAGCAGCAGCTTGAGCTTCACGGCAGACGAGAGGCCGTGGAAGCAGAGGCGGATGTTGTCGATGACCGCGGCCGTGAGCAGGGACGCGATGCTGGGCGGCGCCCACAGCTCGTCCGTGGCCCCCAGCTTGTTGTGAAGCCACAGGCCCGTGTCGCTCTCCCGCATGGACGCCATCTTGGGGGGAAAAAAGCCGGGCGCCGCTGAGCCGGCATCTTATGAGGACACCTACGCGCCCGCGGCGAGGACCCCCAATATGGCGGCGCCCGCCCGGCGCGCCGCGGTGACGTTCCGGCGGGGCGGGGCCGCGGCGAGGCGCGAGGTCAAGCCGGCGTCCGTAAGGTAACATGGCGGCGCCTGTGGCCGGGCCTCCCGGGCCTCGGAAGATGATGTGTGGGGGCGTGGGCGCGGCGGGTTGGCGCCGCGAGTCCAGGGTGTGGGTGGTTGGCGGGCGTGGCGGCGCTGACCGGCCCTGTTCTCGCGGGACGGGCGCCCTAGGGCGGCCGCGATCCGGGTCCCGCGCCGCTCGGAGGGAGGCTGAGCTAGTCGGAAGTCTTCGCCAAGCCGGGGCGTCTGGGGTCCAGCCCGCGCCCCCCACCGCGGGCCTGGAGCTGCCCCAGCTGCTGGGGACACGGGGGGAGCTTGTCCCGCCCGAGCCTTCGCCCTGGCAGCCCCGGGGAAGGGGGCGCGCGCGCTGCGGACGGAGAGCTGGCGCGGGGTCCTGCACGCCGCACGGCCGGCCTCCGGGCTCCTGGCCAGTCTCAGAGAGCCCCCCCCCACCCCCGGGGGCCCGAACGTAGGTGCCTTTCCAGGCGGTGGGAGCCCCATCTGAAAGGGAGTCGGCCCTGTTTGGTGGGTGGTGAGGGGGGCGGTTCTTAGCGCCCTTAGGCTCCAGCCAGCCTCGGGCTGAACCTTGGGCTGTGCGCCCTTAGGCTCCAGCCCACGGCCCGGGGAGGGAGGGCGCTGCTGTCGGGGAGGGCTCTTCACCGCGCAGACTTGCCTTCCGTCTGCCCCGCCCGGCCAGAAAGAGGGCCTGTGGCCCAAGCGCCCCAACTCTGCCCTCTGGGCCACAGGCTCCAGCCTTGCCCCTTCACCCAGACCCCTGGGGGGAGATGGTCAGGGAGCCCGGGCTATGGAGAGGTCAGCGGGCCCACCACACCCTTCCTATCAGGGCCCGCTGACCTCCGGGTCGCCTGCATTGCGGGCGGACTGCCGCTGAGTCACCAGATGTTCCACCTACCTAGTCTCTGTTACAAAACTTCCTGTATATCCTGGCTCCTCCCTTACCTCTTGAGAGCTGTCTCGGGGTTAGCTGAGACGCTGTGTCCTGGACTTAAGTCCTCAGTTTTGTCTACCAAATAAAAGGTAACTTTCAAGTTGTACTTTTTGTTTTTTTCAGTCCACACCAGCATCTTAACTTATTTTAGCTGTTTCAAGCTACCAAAAATATGGAGAAACCATTTAAAGTAGACAGTCCTAAAACATAATTACTTGTGTGTGTGTGAAAGTCGCTTGGTTGTGTCCGACTCTTTGCAACCTCACGGACGATACAGTCCATGGAATTCTCCAGGCCAGAATACTGGAGTGGGTAGCCTTTCCCTTCTCCAGGGATTTTCCCAACCCAGGGTTCGAACTCAGGTCTCCCATGTTGCAGGCGGATTCTTCACCAGCTGAGCCACAAGGGAGCTGATTACTCCTAAAAGAGTTCATCTAAAAGTTCTTACTTCATTGACATGTACTTATCAATCTTTGACTCTGCCTCTGCGCACCAGAAGAAAAGTTTGCATGGGTCCTGCCCTATTTAAGTTTTATCATCTCAAGTTATCAGTGTTGCTGACAAATTTTGTAACAGGAATCATCAGATCTTAAAATTTGACTTCTAGTAAACCTAAGTACAATGAAAATATTAATGTTGACGAGTCCAGAGATATAGTCATTAAACCAAGCTTGTTTTCATTCATTAAAAATTAATACCAGGGACTTCCCTAGTGATCCCAGTGGCTAATGTGTGGGACATGGGCTCAAGCCCTGGTTTGGGGAGATCCCACAGGCCGCAGGGCAGCTAAGCCAGCGTGCCACAGCTGCTGAGCCCGTGCACACCCTCGAGCCACAAGAGAAGAAACTTGTGTGACAAGAAGCTCAGTGCGTAAAGAATCTGCCTGAAAGGCAGGAGACTCGAGTTCAGTTCCTGGGTCAGGAAGATCCCCTGGAAAGGAAATGGCAACCCACTCCAGTATTCTTGCCTGAAGAATCCCATGGACAGAGGAGCCTGGTGGGCAACAGTTCATAGGGTCACAAAGAGTCGGACACGACTGAGCGACTAAACCACCACCAGTGTGATGAGAAGCCTGCACACCACAATGGCAAGCAGCCCCTGTTGCCTGCAACTCGAGAAAACCCACATGCAGGGTCAAAGACCTAGGACAGCCAAGAATAAAGGTAAACCCTGGGTTACGTGATCCTGAAATTCATTTGAGTATTAGCCAGTCAGGGCCCTTTTACCAATCAATTTTGGCAGGACCACATACCTGCAGTACACACATAAACATAGATTCATACCAACAGAGATCCCGTAGTTTTGAAACCAGGCAGGACCCTGTGGGGCTCCTGGGCACACAGCCTTTCTGTGTCCCCTTGACTACAGGATGCCTCATGCGCTCCCCCCACCCCCACCCCATAGTTTTCAGGGCATTAGCCGGTAGTGGCCCTCTCTGCTCAGCAAAGCAATAAAACTTTGCTGCTTCACCTAAAACTCTAGTCTCCAAGATTCAGTTCAGTGCTGGTTCACAGAGACTGAGTTTCGGCATCACTTCACATCCCCAAATTTCATCCATGAATCAGGAACAGCAATACAAAACCCATTGGTTACAAAAGAGGTTGGTTTCCCTGGCGGCCTAGTGGTTAGGATTCCAGGCTCTCCCTGCCGTGGTCTGGGTTCAATCCCTGGTCTGGGAACTGAGATCCTGCAAGCCTCATGATGTGGCTAAAAAAAAAAAGTTGGATTCAAATTGGGTTTCTGACCAATGGAACAAATAAAGGTCACCTGTTTAGATGGCAAAAGTCTTTTCACTAATACTTATAGAGAAGACACAGGAGTTGTCTTGTCCTTGACAAGTTTCAAGTTACCTATCCACTTTAGTTTCTCTCTTTTGAGAAGAGTTACTTTCCTGAAATTTGCAATTTCAAAAGTTGGTCTAGATAAGTGTTTCTGGAGAAGACCAGGTGGGCCATTTACATCTCGGAAGCATAGGAGGAAAAAGGCAAATTCTAGGAGTAACTTCTGTTCCCTTAAGGCCACAATATTAATATACAATATATATTTAAAGCCTCAAGCTAAGTAGGGGAAGTCTGAGGAGCAGTAAAAAGATTGATGGGCTTTGAGTTTTTCTGGAGCCTCATCTCAGTCCTGTAAAGATAGATTTGTGAAATAAGGACAGCTCTTTTAATTCCTCAAAGAATGGGGTGGCCACTTCAGGGAAAATGAGACCAAAGTGCTGACATACCCGTCCACCTGCTGCAATGTTTTATTGTTCAGTCAGTCGTGTCCGACTCTTGGTGACCCCATGAACTGCAGCACGCCAGGCTTCCCTGTCCTTCACCATCTCCCTGAGTTTGCTCAAACTTATGTCCATTGAGTCAGTGATGCCATCCAACCATCTCATCCTCTACTACCCCCTTCTTTTGCCCTCAGTCTTTCCCAGCATCAGTTTTTTTTCCAATAAGCTGGCTCTTTACATCAGCTGGTCAAAGTATTGGAGCTTCAGCTTGGGCATCAGTCCTTCCGATGAATATTCAGGGCTGAATTCCTTTAGGATGGACTGTTTTTATCTCGCTGTCCAAGGGACTTTGGAATGTTTTACTTTCCTTCATCTAGCTCAGGGAAGAAGGCCAAAAAAATAAAAAATCCTCCCAGGCTCTGAATATCAGCTATGTTTAGTTCAGTCAGACCAGTGGCCTTCAATCTTGGTAATCTACTTATAGAAACCTGAGAGGCTCCTACTTGGGTTTAAGAAATTCTTTACCTACGGCCCTCATTTCCAACTTTGATGTGAAGAGGCTTGCCTCCAGCCTCAGGTGGTCCCATTTCTGAAGGTGACCATTGAATAGTGTCATTGGGATAGAAGGCCATTTAGACGGCAGACCAGAGCGGGCCCTCAGTACAGGAGTGTGGAGGGAGCAGAGGTGAGGTCAGCCTCAGGGGTTCTGTTTGTTTGCCATAGGCACTTTTACACCCCTTACCTTTCACTAGTCTTCTGCAGCATCCTTAGAAGCTGTTTTGGAGTTTTCAAGCCCTTGGGGGCTTTTGCATACCAATTAAAAAAGGTACAATAACAGGATGAGAGCTCTCTAGCGTTTTAATAATTTAGAAGTCTCTCCAGTCCCAGGGATCTATTTTAGAAGAGGAGAGCTCTGATCCCCCTTGTGTCCCGCAGACCCTGTGGGCAGGGGTCCCAGAGACAGGCCAACAGGAACGGACCTCGTCCTCTGTCGCCTTTCTCTGTGCCTACAAAGCTCAGTGAGGCCAGGAGCGCCTCGGGGCGGCCCTTCACTTCCCGGTGCAGGCCGCAGGCGTGCACACACGTGCTGCCGTCTGAGCGCAGCTGGCGCCCTCGTCTGCGCGGGATTGCTGGGCCCTTGAGGCGCGGCGCCCAAGTCGGCGGTGAGACGTGAGCCCAGCTAACGGAGGAATCTCTGGCGAGGCAGTGCGCACGCTCCGGTCTGCCCCCAGGCCCCCGCGGAGTCTCCCGCGGCAGCTGACTCTCCTGGGTCCGGTCTCTCCCTCCGGGGAAAACGGCGGCGGGGGCTCGGGGCTCCGGGCGGTCGGGCCGCACTGTGTGTCCTGGACGAGCAGTGGATGGCGGGAGCCGGGTCCCCTGCGGGACCGAGCCGCGCCCGGGGGTGGGCCCTCAGACACCCCCACCGGGCTCCCAGTCTCCCGGGACAGCTTGCGGCTGCAAGGAGCACACGTCCCCGTTCTTAAAAGTGAAAGTCGCTCAGGCGTGGCCGACTCTCTGCGACCCCATGGACTGTACAGTCCGGGAATTCTCCAGGCCAGAATCTGGAGTGGGGATCCCTTCCCTTCTCCAGCAGATCTTACCGACCAGGGATCGAACCCAGGTTTCCCTGTTCTTGGGAGCTGAATGCATTCCATCTGTCCTTTCACTACCAGAGGGTTTATTCAGACCATGTAGCAACTTTGTTTTTCCAACTTAAGCAAAACCTAACAAACCAGCCACTTCTGTTTCCCTGGGCCTCCTTCACTGCCCTCCTGGGTCCCGGACTGGGAAATGCACAGGGGCCCTGAAAGGCTCCAGGGCAAGTAGAAACAGCTCGAATAAAAATGTCAGGATCGTCCCCTAAGAGCTGGGAGGGCTGGCCAAGAGGGGAGCCCAGCGGAGCCCCCAGGGGCACCAGGGAGGCAGTGGGGCCCGGTGGCCCCCGTGGTGCTGAGCACAGGGTCGGTGTCGACTTCAAAAAGGGTCACAACCCACAAGTTGAGAGGTATATTTTATTTGGTGGGAGTTTTTAGGACTTTAAGCCTGGGAGACAGCATCTCAGGTGATCCTGGGAGAACTGTTCTGAGGAGGTGGGCGGGGTGGAGAGAAGTTTGTAACAGGCCGTGGGAGTCTGAACAGCAAACGGTTATTAAGGAAAGTCAGATGGCTCAAATGAAGGTATTTAGCGCTTTCCTGTGTATGTGCTAAGTTGCTTCAGTCATGTCCGACTCTGCGACCCCATGGACCGTAGCCAGCCAGGCTCCTCTGTCCATGGAACTCTCCAAGCAAGAATACTGGCGCAGGTAGCCATTTACTTCTCCAGGGGATCTTCCCAACCTAGGGATCAAACCCACGTCTCTTACGTCTCCTGCGTTGGCAGGCAGTTTCTTTTCTTTTCTCTTTTTAACTGGAGGATAATTACTTTACAATATTGTGGTGGTTTTTGCCACACATCCACATGAATCACCCACAGGTGCACATGTGTCCCCCCATCCTGAAGCCCCCTCCCACCTCCTTCCCCACCCCATCCCTTGGGTTGTCCCAGAGCACCGGGTTTGAGTTCCCTGCTTCATGCATCGAACTTGCACTGCTCACGTGTTTCACACAGGGTAACAGGCAGCTTTCAGTGCTAGGCTGGCGGGTTCTTTACCGCTAGCACCACCTGTGTACGGGCAGATGCAGGCATCCGTGATCCCTGAAACCACTCCTTCACAGGCATCTCAGCTGTCTGGGTCAGGGTCCTGCGATTTGACGTTATATGTCTGTAGTGGCGGCAGCTCACTGGCTGATAGCGGGCTCTGTTCTTCCCGGGCTCAGAAATTCATGTTTGGAGGGCTGAAACTCTTGATAGCTGAGATGTCTTTGTTTATTGATGTGGCCGGAAATATTCCGTTTCACAGGGGCGAACTCCAGCTGTCCTCTGGGGAGGGTGGGTTGTCTCTGATACACCAAGCTAGCATCGACAAGAGACTCATCAATAATTGATCTAAGAAAGAAAGGGAAATTTTTATTGGCACCAACCTGATGATCCTAACCCAGGAGACAGTCTTTCAGAAGCTCTCAGGCCTGCCCGTTGGAGGTCAGAGCGAGGTATGTGAGCTGCTGAGACAGAGGGCTGTACGTCAGACACTCAGCCATAGGCCGTGCAGTCCAGGCCTGATCACACCCGGTGAGGGTGGGCCGTGGCGCCCCCCCAGTAGGGCAAGAAGAAAGGTTCTCTCCTGGGGTCTGGTGAAGGCAGGCACTCAGCCCTTACTCGAGGGGTGGGAGGGGGCTCAGATGGGCAGAGAAAAACTGCATGTTCAATTATTTCTTGTTTTGTCCAGAATCACGATGCAGAGAACAGACTGGGGTATGGGAAGCTGCGGCTAGCAGACCTAAGCTTCTATGTATGTCGACGGGACGGGCGGACAATACAGCCCTACTGCTCAGCAGAGACGGCGACATTCCTACTGCTCAGCAGAGACGGCGACATTCAGTGTTCTGTGGAAGCCATGATGGAAAAGCGTAAAAAGAGAACATCTGCTTGCGGGTGACGGAGTCAGTTTGCTGCAAGGCAGTAACGAGCGCGACACTGTAAATCAGCTCTACTTCAACGAAGAAACAGAGATTCGTTTTGTCATAAAATATGGGTTTTATTTCATCACACTGATTTTCTGTAGTCTTTTCTCTTTTCCATTTCATGAGTTTCCACTCTCACTTTTATTAATTCTTCTCTGCTGCTGACTTGGGATTTAACTTGCTCTTCATTTTCTCATTTCCGAAGATGACGCTTAGATGGTTGCCCACAGAGCCTCTTCTCCTCTAATATATGCAAGCAATGCTACAAATTTCCCTCTAAACACTGCTTTTGCTGAATCCTACACATTCTGATAAGTTGTATTTCATTTTTATTTAGTCATTTAGTTCAAATTTTTTTAATTTCTCTTAAGAGTTCTTCGATTCCTGTGTTTTGTGGAAGCGTGTAGGTTTTCTTGCGGCTGTTGTTTTCAGGTTTTGGGGTGGTTTTTTTTTTTTTTTTTTTGGCTTTGGCTCAGCTCATGGGATCCTAGTTCCTGACGGGGATTGAATCTGAGGCCTTGGAGGTGAAAGCATGGAACGTCCTAACCAGTGGCCTACCAGGGAATTTCCAGGTGTGCATTCTGAGTCTCCACGTGTTCGGAGATTTTCCAGTTATCTTCCTGTCACCAGTTTCCGCGTCAGTTCCCTCGCGGTCTCAGGGCAGACACCGTGTGATTTCTGTGATTCTGAGTTTGTGAGGAGTGTGTTACGGCCCAGAGTGTGGTCTGTCCTGATGAGTGTTTCCAGTGAGTGTGAGAAGACTGTGTCTCTATTTGTGTATCTCTTTATCCCCGCTGTGCTGCGTCTCCGTCACTGCACAGGCTTTCTCGAGCTGTGTGCGGGAGCAGGGCCCCTCCCGAGCCGTGCGGTGCCCTCGCGGCGGCGGCCTCGCGCGGCTCTCAGCTGCGCATGGGCCTGGCTGCTTCCCGGCACGTGGGGCCGTCCACTGGCAGGCCAACTCTTAACCCCTGAGCCGGCAGGGATGTCCCGGAGAAAGCGTGTCTTGCTCTGGAGGATGCCGTCTGTAGATGTCCGTTATGTGCGGTTCACGGTGGAGCCGAGTTCATCCACATCCTTCCTGGTCTCTACCTGCAGGGTCTCCTCGCTGACCAGGGTGTGGAAGTCTCCGACCATCACAGTGGATCATCTGTGTCTTTTCTGTTCTTGCCTTAAGATCCATTTTATCTGATACTAATATGGTGATCCTAGCCTTGTTTTTTAATGAGCATTTACGTGGTATAGCTTTTATCCATTCTTTTTTAAACAAAGTTAGTTAATTCCCGTATTGTTGGCTGTGCTGGGTCTCCGCGGCATGCTGGCTTCTCACTGGGGTGGTTTCTCTCGTTGGGGAGGGCAGGCTCAGCAGTGGTGGTGATGGGCTCGGGGGCCCTGCCGCAGGTGGACCCTTCCCGGGCCAGAGATCAAACCTGTGTTCCCAGCACGGGTGGGTGGATTCTCAAACAATGGAGCCCCAGGGAAGTCCTGTCCATTTTGTTACTTTCACCTTTTCTGTCTCCCTAGGATGCAGTTGTGTCCCATATAAACAGCATGTAGCTGTGTTGGTTTTGTTGTCGTTTTTTAAGAGTGACAGTCTTTGTCTACTAACTGGACCATTTTGTCCATTATTGTTGAATAAAAGTCATCGATGTATTGGTTCTCAGATGGATTCTTCTTTACCATTCATTTTATCACACACATTAGTTTAATTCTGAATTTGGGGGCCCACGGGGACCGGAGCTTCTAGGGCAGAGTTGTAGAGAGAAGAGGCTCAGCTCTCAGGCTCTGCCCTGAGTCCCGTCAGGTCCTCAGCGTGTGGACCGAGCGCCCAAGGCCAGGCGCGACCCGGAACGAGAATGTCTAACAGCCCTCACGGGGCCAGAAAGGGGCTGTGTTTCCAGCGGCCACGGGGCATTGAGCGGAGTGCTCAGAAAGCTACTGCTTTACTGATAGGGTCAGATGGGCCCAGACTGAGGAGTTTTCCGAGCTTCCCTGGCGAACTCAGACGGTAAAGAATCTGCCTGCAGTGCAAGAGACCTGGGTTCAATCCCTGGGTGAGGAATATGCCCTGGAGAAGGGAATGGCAACCCACTCCAGTATTCTTGCCAGGAGAATTCTATGAATAGGAGCTTGGTAGGCTACTCTCCATGGAGTCACAGAGTCAGACAGGACCGAGTGACTCGACACACACACACACACACACACACACACACACACACACACAAAAGGAGTGTTCTGAGCTCACCTAGTGAAACTTCAAAGGAAGACCCAAAAGGATCAGATTATTTCCAGGTAACAAGTGCATTCCAGAACAAAGCTCAAAAACAAAAAAGAAACAAATCCCAGTGACTCAACATTATAAAAATTACATAATCCAGCATCCAACAAAAATCACCATAAATGTAAAGGAGCAAGAACATACAACTCATAATAAAGAAGAAAAAATCAATCGGGAACTGAACCAGAAATAAGACAGATGACAAGGTAACAGACAAGGGCATTAAAGGTTATACAACTATCTGAAATAGCTAGGAGAAAGATGAAAACGTGTTAAGTAGTGATATTAAAAACGCCACATGAAAGCACATGTCAGTATAAAGAACTGTATGTGAATACTCAGAGTAGCTTTACTTGTAATGGCCAAATGCTGGAAATTACCCAAATGTCTATCAACAAACAAATGCACAAATTGTGCTTTTTCCAAACAATGGAACACTGCTCACCAATAAAAAGTGCACTATTTAAAAATCTTTTCTTCTTTTCTCTTATTTTTATTCTTAAAAGAATGCACTATTGATGAGCCCAACAACACAGACAAATCTCAAAGTAATTTTGCTAATTTAAAGAAGTCAGACAGAGGGACCTCCCTGGCGGTCAGGGGTTAAGACTCTGCTCAGGGTGCAGGGGCGCAGGCATGATCCCTGGTGGGGGAACTAAGATGCCACATGCTGCATGGTGTTGCCAAAAAATAAAAACAGACAAAAAGTGGAATATATGGCATGATTCCACTTACATAAAACTGTAGAAAATGCAAACGAGCAACAGAAAGCAGACCAGTGGTTGTTTTGAGGGGAGAAGCCAGTGAGAGGAGGCGGAGATCGACAAGAGGCTGAGGGTGTTTGGGTGGGGCTGGGGTGGGGTGCCCCACCTTCAGGAGGTGACGGCCTCACAGCTGCATGCTGACCTTGAAAATGAAACAGTATCTTACCAGCAAAAATGAGTTTGCTGGAAAAGAGCAGAGAATTGCAACATGACAAACATGCAGCGCGAAGGCCGCAGGCAGGTCCAACAGAGAGGAGGCGCGTTACTGTACAGAGAAGAGGATGGTGTTGGGGAGGGGCGGTCCTGAACCAAGTCCATTGGAGAAAAGCCAGAGTTCAGAGCGGGGATGGTTTCTGTCTGAGCTGCTGGAGTGGTGGACTCCTTGGAGGAGAGGCCAGGTATGCTTTCCTGTGAAGTTGAAAGTGGAAGTCGCTCAGTTGTCTGACTGTTTGTGACCCCATGAGCTGAACGGAATGGAGAACAGCAGAGAACTGCAGTTTGGGACAAACGTGCAATACAGAGGCCGGAACACTGGAGTGGGTAGCCTTTCCCTTCTCCAGGGGATCTTCCCAACCCAGGGATCGAACCCAGGTCTCCCACATTGCAGGCGGATTCTTTACCTGCTGAACCACCAGGGAAGCCCAGAAGAACATGATTGAATACTAAAATAAAAAGAACTTTGGAGCCTGAGCAACAAGGGAGCAGATGNTACAGTCCATGGAATTCTCCAGGCCAGAATACTGGAGTGGGTAGCCTTTCCCTTCTCCAGGGGATCTTCCCAACCCAGGGATCGAACCCAGGTCTCCCACATTGCAGGCAGATTCTTTACCAAGAATATGAAGGCCAAGAATAAGAAGGCCAAGAATACTGGAGTGGGTAGCCTATCTCTTCTCCAGGGGATCTTCCCGACCCAGGGATCAAACAGGGGTCTCCTGCATTGCAGACAGATTCTTAACCAGCTGAGCCACCAAGAATGCTGGAGTGGGTAGCCTACCCCTTCTCCAGCGGGTCTCCCCAACCCAGGTCTCCCACATTGCAGGCGGATTTGAGCCCCTAGGGAAGCCCCGTTTTCCTGCGGAGACCTGTGATTAGTCCTTCCGGTGACTGACTTTGAGTGGTGCTGCAGAGAGCGCCCCCTTCTGGCCTCCCAACTCCATTTTAGTGAGGTTTCCCTTTATTACTTTTCCCACCTACAAATACATCAAAATTGATCAAATTGTGTATTACCTGTCAACCTCACCTGAATAAACATAAAAAAGTGACAAAACATATTTAATGAAACTTTCACTGTCCTACCAGAAATACAGATCCTTTAAAGGGTATTTTATCCAGAACACTTTAACCTCATGTACCCCTTCTTGATTTACATGCTGTCCCGTATTTTATTTTCCTACTTTGTTTAGCCGAGTCACAGCCTCTTTATACTCCCCCAGGTTCTCCTCTCACTGTGCCCCCCGCTTACTTCCAGACCTTCCATTTCAGATCTCTTATCTCAGCCTGAACTATATCCTTCAGAATTTCCTTCCTAAGGACGTTCTGTCTCTGTCTGAATGCGTGTCTATTCTGTGTCGTTCTTTGTTTAGAACTATACGTAACTTTCCTTAGTAAATACGTACAGGAACGTGCACCAAGCATAAATACACAGCTGAACTTCCCCAAAGTAAACACACTGTGTCTCTTAACACCCGAATCAAGAACCGGAAACCCGCCCAGGCCCTGGGACGGCAGCTGTGCCTGCTCCCAGTGCCCTCCTTCCACTGTGCTGCTGAGCTCGGGATGCTTGCGTTCTGTTGAGTTTTGCCTCAGTGTTCATAAGAACCATTGGTCTGTGGTTTTCTTGCAGTTGGCTTCATGAGTTAGGAACTATTTTATACTCTTCAATTTTAGGGGAAAGTTTGAGAAGCCTTGGTGCTAATGCTTCTTTAAACGTTTGCTAGAGTTTGCCAGTGAAGCCATCAGATCCAGGGCTTTTTTTTTGTTGGGAGACTGTTGACCAATCTCCTCACGTCTCCATTGTTTCTCGGAGTTTGCGCATTTCATCTAGCTGACCCGACCTGCTAGTGCGCAGCTGTTCACAGCAGTCTCCTTTAATCCTTTTCATTTCTGCTGAATTGGTAGGAATGCCTCCGTACTTCATGTCTGATTTTAGTCATTTGTGTCTTCTCTCCTTTTTTCTTAGTCCATTTGGTTAATGGTTTGTCAAATATGTTGGTCTTTTCAAAGAACCAACTTTTTGTTCCATTGATCTTTCTTTATGGTTTTTCTATTCTCTATTTCTTTAATTATATCTCCATCCTAATCTTTCTTTCCTTCTGCTAGGCTCTTTCTTTTTGGCCACAACACCCAGCTTGCAGGATCTTAGTTCCCCGATGAGGTATTGAAAGTATGTCCTTAGCAGTGACAGTGGAGTCCTGGACCACCATGAATTCCCTCCTCCTGCTAGCTTCAGGTTTTCTGTTCTTCTTTTTCTAGTTCCTTAAATTGTAATATTGGGCTGTTGATTTGATCTTTTTCTTTTAATGTGTTTATAGCTATAATTTCCCTCTTATCACTGCTCTTGCGGGGTCTCGCACATGTTGGTACGTTTTGTTTTGTTTTCATTCCTCTCCAAGTCATTTCTAAGTTCCCTTGTGATTTCTTCTTTGGTCCTCTGGTTCTTCAACGTTCAACTTTTCCATCTGTTATTGAGTTCCAGCATCATCCTGCTGTGGTCAGAGAATACACTTTTTATGGCATCTGGCTTTTAAAATCAATTGATGGGAATTCCCTAGTGGTTCAGCGGCTGGGATTCTGGGCTCTTGCTGCTGAGGGCCTGGGTTCAATCCCTGGTTGGGAATTAAAATCTCACAAGCTGTGCAGTGCCTCCTTGCCCCCAAGTCTATGAAGACTCAATTAGTGACAATGTGTGGTCTCCTGAAAGCATCCCACGTGTGCCTGAGAAGGATGGGTGTCATCAGGTGGGTGTCCTGGACACATCCGTTAGGTCTGGCTCACTGGTCCTCTGTCTGGTTGTTCTATGCAATGCTATGAGTAGGGTATTCAAGTCTATTGTTACTGTAGAACTGTCTGTTTTTTTCATTCCATTAGCTTTGGCTTCATATATTTTCACTGTCTGTCATTAGGTGTGTAAACATTTATATTTGTCCTATCTTCCTGCCCTATCAAACCTTTTATTAACATGTGATAATGTCCTTCTTTGTCTACTGTAAACTTTTTTGATGTAAACTCCTTTTTGTCTGGCCACAGTTTAGTCACCCCAGCTCTCTTCTCGTCATTATTTGCAGGGAGTACCTTTTCTCATCCTTTCACCTTTGATCTATTTGTGTCTTTGGATTTAAATTGAGCCTCTTTCAGGGACGGACTTTGCTGGTGTCCAGTGGTTAAGAATCTGCCTTGCAAGGCAGGGGACGTGGGCTCGATCCCTGGTGGGGAACGAAGATCCCACAAGCTGGGGAGCAATAAGCCTGCGCCCTGCGACTACAGAGCCACAGATAGAGTCCCCACCCTGCCACAAGCGAGGACACGGCTCAGAGCCGACACAGTCTAATAAATAAACAGGCTTTATAAAAGATGCAAATAAAGAAATAAAGTGAGCCTGTTGCAGACACCATGGCGCTGGACTGTGTGTTTTTATCCATTCCACTCTGCTTTTCCAAGGCCCTAGATGAAGATGCTTTCTGCCAAGTCGCATGTGAATTTTCCTCTGCCACTTGCGGGAGCATCCCTAATCCAGAGCCATTTTAAAATAACTTCCTCGCGGACACATTCTTGGTGCTTTTAACGGTGTCTGTTCTGCTTGTGGCGCCGGTGTTATAGCCACTGTTTCCCGGCCCCCCCGCCCCCCCTCAGTGTCAAGACAGTCCGCAGTCAGGCTTGCAGGCGAGCCGAGGAGCACTGGGCCGGTGTGTGAACCTGGGACTGACGCTGCGCCCAAGCCGCGAAGCCGGGCTGCACTCTTCTCCTGCTGTTTGCTGGCAGAGCCTCTGCCCCTGGAAACCAGCCTGCCAGTCCCCCACCTCCAAGCACAGACACCGTCGCCTCCTCCCTTGCTCTGCCCCTCTTGCTCACTGGCAACCCCCCTGGGCTCCACCACCCCACTGGGCTTTCCCTGGAGGGGTGGCGGTGGAGGGTAAGTGCAGGGGGTCGGTGATAGCCGAGAGTGGGCGCAGTGAGTCTGGGGGCGGATCTCCTCCCTACTGGGGCCAGGGTCCCCAGACGACGCCCTGGGCGGAGCCCACAGAGGAGGGCTCCGAGGGGTTGGGGGTTCTGGGCCATCAAAGCCAGTTGCTCCCAGAGCTTCCTGGAGTCACTCACCGGCCACGCTCTCGCGGACCACACCGCTCCGCTTCCATCTCCAGCCGGACAGCTGCAGGCAACCCAGGCAACAGGTGTGGGCTCGAGAAAGGACTTGCCTGGTGGTCTAGTGGTTAAAAATCCGCTTGCCTACGCAGGGGACACAGGTCAGCCCCCGGTCTGGGCAGACTGCACCCGCTGTGGCGCTACTGAGCCCAGGCTCAGCAGCAGGACAAATTCTGCAGTGTGAAGCCCCCGCCAGGCAACTAGACGAAGCCCGCCCGCAGACCCAGGACAGCCAAAAATAAAGGCATTTTAAAAGAGAGGAAGAGGGAGAAACTGGTTAGGGAGAAGTGATGGGGGGTCGAGGGGCTCACGAACTGTCCCACTGGGATATGAAAGAAATCACAGCCGGCTTGCGGAAAACCCAGTGGAGACCGTACCCGGGGAGGGGCGGGGGGCCGGCGTGGCGCTTGGACCCCGGCGCGGACGGGGGTGGGGCAGGGACTCAGGACCCAGGCAGCCCTGCGGTGCCGCCCCCGCGGGCCGGCGGCGCGGTCCTCTCGGTACCCGCTCGGTCTCGGGGAGGACGGAGCCGGGCGCCCGACAGCCAGCGGGGCAGGAATGGTCAGGCTGGACGTGTCGCGGGGCTCCGGACGAAGGGCGCGGAAACGCGCGCGTCCGGGAAGGCCGCCCGCCGGCCCCGCGCCCGCGCGCCCGGCTGGTCGGAGTTTCCGGACGCCCCCCGCGCAGGCCTCGCTGCAGCCCTGCCCCGCCCCTGGGCCAGCGCGCCCGCGTCCGGTCGGGGCCGCGGACGTCCCATCCCGTGCCCGGCCGCCACCCGACCCAAGGCCTGGGGGGTGGGGCGGAGGCCGTCCGGCCGGGCGCCGCCACCACGAAGGAAGCCCGGCGCTGCCTCGCGCCGTGCGGGCTGCTGGTGGCTCCAGGGCGGGGACGCAAGGGCCTGGGCGCACGGCCCGGAGGTCGCCGCCTCCGCATCGGCGCTACGCCTCCTAAAGACCCGGTGGACACCAAGTAGGCAGCACCCTTCTTAGAAGGACGGGTGGCCCCCGCGGGCGTGGGCCGGGCGGGGACCTGAGACTCTTTACCTCCCACGACCTTGTGCAATCGCGAAGGAGCCAAGGGCGCAGAGAGGCCACGCGACCCGTCCCAGGTCACGCAGCCGACGTGGAGTGTGTCCGGACGCGGAGCGCTGGAGGGGACCGGGCAGCCCGATGGCTTCTTACCTGTGCCTGTGGCCTGAGGGTCAGGCATGAGGCCGAGCCGGGGCGAGGAGAGGAGACCGGACGGGTCCTGGGGCCTGGGTCGCTCCCGAAGCCGAGCTCCCCGGAGCAACCCGCCCCGACTGGACCCACTAGCCCACTGGGCGCAGAGGCCGCGCGTTGGCATTCACCGGCCCCCAGCCCAGGGCGGGCATCGAGCCCCCTCCCTCGGAATCGGTCCAGGGATGCCCGGGTGCCTGGGCCGCCGGCGGTGGCTCTTGAGCTGCTGTCCAGGTGCCGCCTCCTCCAAGCAGCCCTCAGGAGCCCACGCCTATAGGGTAGGCCTGACGGCGTCTGGGTGCGGATCCCGGTTGGGGCCGCGCGTACCGAGTCCGGGAGCCACCACCTCGGTCCCTTTAAGCGAGCGGTTCGCGCGGCCCCGGGGTTTCCATGACTACGACGTTGGATGGGGGTGGCCGGGGCGGGGTCGAGGCGCATGCGCGGTACGCGCATGGGGGGCTCGCTCGTCCCGGGGGGCGGGGCCCTCGAGGTGGGCTCACGGGTCCTGGGGGGTCCGGGTGGTGGGTCGCGCGAAGCCGAGCTCAGGGTCGGGGTCCGCCGGCCCGAGGGGCGGACGCCGCTGACCGTCGGCTTCTGCAGGGCGCCCGGGCTCCCTCAGTTCGGCCATGGCCCCCCCGCCGCCGTGCGGACCTCCGAGGTCGCCGCCGCCGCGGCTGCTGCTGCTGCTGCTACTGAGCGCCGCGCTGCTGGGCGCCCAGGCCCACGCTGAGCCCGCCGCCGGGAGCGAGGTCCCCGCGCAGAGTAGGTCCCGCGCGCGCACGCGGAGGGGTCCGCGGGTGCCCTGACCCCACTCGGGCGCGCGGGAGGGGCGTGGCTCGCCTTTGTTTCCTGGTGGTCCCCGCGCCCCCGCGGGCGGGAGGCGGGGGGCGCGCGGAGGCCGCTGCCCGTGATTAGGGGGGCCCGGCTGCGAGCGCGCCCTGACCCGGACCCCCTCCACCCCGACCCTCGCGCAGGCCGCCCGTGCGTGGACTGCCACGCCTTCGAGTTCATGCAGCGTGCTCTGCAGGACCTGCGCAAGACGGCCTACAGCCTGGACGCGCGGGTGAGCCTCCCGAGGGGTGCAGGACGGGTGGAGGGGGGAGGGGGGAGGCTGCCCGGCTCCCGCTCCTCCCGGTGGCCTCCTGGCTCCTTTCCCGGGGTCACTGGAAAGGACAGCCTATCCCAACCCAGTCTTTCCCAGCAGGCAGAGAGGGCGAAGCAGGAAGACCATCCGGATGGGCTGGAAGGCCAGCTTGGGCCCAGCTGTCCGAGGGCCGGGGGGGTTCCCCCCTCCTCTGCAGGGGGTGGGTGCAGGCCTGGGGTGTCCGGAGTGACACCCTAAGTCTGGAATGAACAGTGCCCTTCCCCTCCGCCTTCTCTGGGCCCCAGCCAAGGAAGTTCTCATTTGTGACAGAAATGTGTATTTCTGGGAAGGGGGAGCACTCCGAGAAGTAGGAAGAAGGGGACATCCTGCCCTGCTCCCTCTGCTCCCAGTTCCCAAGGATTCCCCCAGATCTGGAGTGCCCCCTGGGGATGCGTCTGGAGCTGGGCTCCTGAGAGGAGCTGCAGCCAGCCCACCCTGGGGGGCTGGAGGAGCTATCAGGACAGAGGGTCCCCTGAAAGAGAAGCCAGAAGAGTTGTCTAGTGTGGGGCTCAAGGAGGCCGGGCCCCCGGGCAGGAACGTCAGAGGCGGGGGGAGTGCGGGGAGGTCTGGGGGGCAGCTGACGGTCCCCTGAGGCTCCCCTGCAGTCAGTCTGTGGAGCTGGGGCTGGGGGTTGTCCGGATGCAGTTGGGTTTAGGTGTCAGGAGTCCTGGGAACCCATGGGTCTTAGGGGGAAGCCAGGAGCTGGGCGGCCCCCTGGCTTGGATTTCTGGGTGCTGCCTGGCGGAGCCCTCATGCCCCTCGTTGCTTTGCAGACGGAGAGCCTCCTGCTGCAGGCCGAGCGCCGGGCCCTGTGTGCCTGCTGGCCGGCTGGGCACTGAGCACCCACACCAGCACGTGCCCAACCAATAAAGGCCTGGTCCCCACGCCCGTGTCCTGTGTCCCTGCTCGGGCCCCCAGGGCCCACCGTCGTCCCCCGGAGTCTCTGCCTGGGCCTGGGTTTCCCTGCCAGGCAGCTCTCCCACCCTGGCGCCAGGCTGGGGGCGTGCATCCATGGGCACCGGGGCCACCACCTTCCAGGGGCCCCCCTGTTCCCTGTCTGCACTTCCTTTGAAGCATGGAGGGTGTGCTGGGGGGCGGGGTGCCTGGAGCGCTTGCCCAGCCCCAGGCCCGCCCAGGCCCTGGTACAATGAGGACCCTGCGGTCAGGGGCGCCCCGGGTCTGGCTGGTGGACCCACTATGGCCAAGGCCCTGTAACCAAGCCGACAAGTGCCAGGAGAGGGGGTGCTGGGCGGTGGGGGAGTGCTCCTCTGGGAGCAGCGGGCTGGGCCCCCTCATAGCTTCCCCCCTGCCTGCTGGCTCCCTCCTGCTGACCCCGGCCTGGCCCCTGGGCACCGAGAACTCTGGGACGGTGCAGACTCATGTCCACGTGTGTGTGCACAACACCAGGCAGAGGCCTTCCTCCTTTCCTCCATTCATTTCTGGAGGAATTTTTTTTTTTTTTGAGTAAATATTATAACCTCTTTTTCAAAGTAATGCGTGCATTATGGTAAGAAACATCCAGGAAGTCAGCAGGGCTGCAAATACAAGTGACCGGTATGGGACACGTGGCCTCTCGGTGGCTTTAGTTCCTTGGCCGTGGCCATCTCTACACCTGGCACTGCTGTCCGAGGTGGTCAGAGCTGGACACTCCTGGTCCCCTGCCCAGGAGGGCGACCCTAGTCCCCGGCCCAGCCTGTCTTGTCTTGTCCTGGGGGTCTGAGTGCACACAGCTGTTCAGATGCTTTGCCCAGGCCCTTCCTTGCCCCAGTGGCTTCCCAACTCTTGATGGTGACCTCCCTCCCATCCTCAATTCTTTTCTGCTGGACCCACCCAGCCTGCGGGTGCTGCTCCAGGTGTTAGGACCACAGGGAACAAACCAGAGTCCTACCTTGGCTTCATGGGGGGCCGAGCTCAATGTCTAGGGGTGATGATGCCCGTGGGATGATTTCAGTCAGGCCAGAGCGAGGCCCCGGGGAAGGCGAGCTGGAGCCATGGCCGGCCTTGGTGGTCTTCGGGCCTGGGCATGGGGGGCGGGGACCGGGGCCACCTGTCCTGGGGCCCCAAAGGAGCAGAGGGTGGCAGAAACAGGCTCCTCCATCAGGGCACTGCCAGAGAGTGCCCGCGTCCCACAGGTTGGCCTCAGTCACGTGGACGTTCCTGGCTGCCAGGGAGCCGAGATTCCCAAACACGAGGCTTGCTGAGCCCTTCTCGGGGGGAGCAGGCGGCACTTGGAGTGTGAGCACTTAGTGAACGCATGTCCCAGGCAATACTCGGGACACCTTTAAAGTGAAAATCACCGGTGTATCCAAAATCGAAGTTTAGCTGGGCTGGGCAGCCCCAAAGCCTGGCTCCAACTGGAGTTCCATGACCAGAGCCTCTGCAGGGGGCGCCCTTTGGGAGGAAATGAGGGCCCTGCTGGGTGGGGAGGCAGCAGCCGCAGGCAGAAGGCACAGGCGGCAGCTCTGGGTGGTCTGGCCGCTGAGGGCGGGGGCGGCCTGAAGGATGGGGCCTCCTTTGGCCTGGGCCGGGGAGGTGAGCAGGCTGAGGTCTGTCTGAGCTGGACCTTCCTGGCTGCTGGCCGAGGATGGGCTCGGGTTGGGGACAGAGTGGGCGCCGTCGGGAGTGAGGGGCCGGGGCTGGGGGGACAAGGGTGAGCAGAGAAACCCAGGAGGCCACGGGCCAGACACGCCCGGGAAAGCGCTGGGGAGAGAAGGCCCCTGGGGTTCGGGGATGGGGATGAGGAGGTGACGCCCCCGAGGAGGGGGGTCTTCACAGGGCAGGGAGAGAGCGGAGACCCCGGGGGGGGGGCTTCAGGCAGAAGCCAGCCTGTCACAGGCCCCGGAGGTCAAGCAAGGCCCCAGGTGGGCCCCCTGGGGTGGGCAGCTCTGGCCACGGTCAGCCTCGAAGGGAGCAGTCAGTTGGGGTGGGGAAGGCCCGCTTGGGGGTGATGCTGGAGAAGTAGCCTGGGCCCCATGAAGGGTTTAGCCTTGCGTGCAGTCAAGGCCAAGGGCGTCCTGGCTCTGCCCTGAGCAGTTCCACCGATTTCTGCTGACTGGACCAAGAGCATCTTCATGACGGCGTCGGGGCTGCGTGAGCTGGGAAGGCGTTGCTTTTGTTGCCCCTGAAGACTGTTCATCCAGTCGTTCCCTCTTGTCTGCCTTCGTCACGTCCGTCCATCCTCCAGCAGTCTGGTCCTTCCCAGCCTTTCCCCTCCGTGGCCTGTGCCCTCCAGCTCCTAACCAGCTGGGCATTCCCACTGCCCACCTTCACGCTTCTGGTTTGGAGGCACTGCTTCCTAGATTCCACACCATCTTCTCATGGTGGCCTGCCTTCAAATAGCTTCCTAGACAATTGGGTGGTAAATGAGCCGTCTGAAAATTTTTGCGGGCACATTGGCCTCGTAGTCCCCGCCACCCCCGGGCCTTTGCATGTGCTGTCCCTCTCCCCGGAATTCCCACGTGGCCTCCACCACCCGCCCTGCTCTTCAGCCCTTTGTACCAGCTTATTTTCCTTGGTCCCAAAGTCCAGCTGAAGCGCCGGCCTCTGTGACTGGTGGGCTCCTGCCCCCACCCCCCACCCCCAGCTTGTAAAGCACCAGGAGAGCACTGCTTTGCCCTTTTCAGGGCCCGGTAGAGGGCAGGCACCCCCCAGCCTGTGTTGGCAGGAAGGCTGGGTGCTGGGTCACAGACTCAGGGTTAGGAGCCTGGGGTGCAGCGGGTGGGTCAGGAGCGTCACTCCCTCCCCGCCCTCAGGAGCTCTCAGAGCCCAGGGCCCAGCCAGGCACCGGGCAGGTTCTAAGCAGGGGGCCCAGTCCCCCAGCTGGGCAGTCGGTTTCTCTTGCTTCCTCCCCTTGGCGTTCTCTGGGAAGAGCTCCCATGGGCTGGGCCCTGGCCCCCGCCAAGTCTGTTCCAGGCTTTCTTCGCCTTCCCGCTCCTGGCCCTCTGGCCCACTTCCGCCAGCACCCCTGCCACCTCTGCGGTCCTCCCAGGTGCGCCTCTCCCTGGGATCCCAGAGACCCTCTCTGCCCGTGGGTCCCTTTCTTCGCCTGGGGTTGGGAGTGGGGTTCGTTCGCTGAACGAACGGTCCTGTGCTGGGCCCTCCTCCTCCCCACTCTGGGGTCTGAGCGGGGCTCTCGCTGTGCTCAGAGGACCCCCACTACCGCCGTTGGGGACCCATGAGGTTCTGGTAGGTGTCAGGTCAGGGTAGTCGGGTCAGCCAAAGTCAAGGAGTGGGTGGGAATTTGTGAGCTGGGCCAGGGTGGGTGACCCGGGGGTGCTGGGAAGACAGTCAGACTCCGCCCGCCCCAGGCTCCCAACAGCATCCAGGACCCTGCCCCCAGTCCAGCTGCACCCGACAGCGTGAGGGGAGTCCCCTCCCTGGGTCCTGGACTGAGGCCAGGCAGCGGGGCCTGGGGCCGCCCAGCTACCCGCACACACCTCACCCCTCTCCCAGGCTGCCCCAGCTCGCGGCCGTTTAAAGTCCAGAACCCGGGCGGGCCTCCTTGGGGGCCAGCCCTGTCTGTTGCCACCTGGTCCTGGCGCTCTCCCTTCCCCCCAGGAGCTGGACCACGGCCTCAGGGCGCCGCGGCCTTTCCCAGCCTCCTCCAGGCTGGAGGGTGAGCTCAGCCCACCAAGGCGGGAGGGGGCCCTACAAGGTCAGGCTGAGTGGGGGCCCAGGCCCCCCCTCGGTATCTGGGCCTGGCTGTTGGGGTGGAGGAGGGGCAGGGCTGATTATGTATGGACCCAGGAAAGACCTGCTGGCTCACATGGTAAAGAATCTGCCTGCAATGCGGGAGACCCGGGTTCGATCCCTGGGTCAGGACGATCTCCTGGAGAAGGGCATGCAAACACTCCAGTATTCTTGCCTGGAGAATCTCATGGACAGTGGAGCCTGGGCGCTATAAGGGTGGGACGTGACTGAGCGACTGACAACGGCCAGCAGGATCTGGGGGCGGGTGTCAGGGCGCTGCCCGGGGCGCTCCCGCCCCCTTCCTTCCTGGACTCCCTGCACACTGTCCTCTGGCTGCGACCTTCCTCCTGCCCTGGAGCCCGGCCTCCGCCGCCGCGGCGCGTGGATGCGCGCCGGATGGGCGCCTCTGACATTGTCCGTGATCCCACCCGGCTCTCCTGGAAGGTCACAGGCGACCCCGGACAAATCCTGACACATGAAACACGGCGAGCGCGTGACGCCCCAGCTCGGCTGCCCCTCCTGCTACGACCCAGCGCTTTGGGCCCTGGGTCCTCCCTCTTCTCGCGCCCCCTGGGTCTCTTAGCGCGACCCCGCTAGGGGCGGTCCCTTTCCTGGGGCCTCACTGGGCTCCAGCGGCCCGAGAGTCCTCAGGCCTGGAGCCCGAGGCTTGCTCTCCACTTGGGCTGGTGTGAGCTCCGCTCCAGACCGGCCCGCGGGGTCACTTGCGGGGAACTGGGGCGACGCGGGGAAGGGGGGTGCGGGGATGCCGGGCTAGTCAGGCGCTGGGGGGCGGGCCTGGGACTCCCGCCCTCCCCCTTCCAGGTGGCCCCCTCGCCCCCTGCCCGCGGCGTCGGCGCTGGGGGCTCGCGGGGGCCCGGGGCGCGCGCCGAGCGCCCTCCCTGCACCTGCACCGAGATCGCGGGGCGCATGCGCGGGCCGCGGAGGGCGGGGGCCGAGCCGGGAGGGGTCCTGAGGGCCCCGCGCCCCCGCGCCGGCGCTGGGGATCCGGCATCGGAGCGCGGGGACCCGCTGGGCTGCGGGCGGCGTAGGCATCGGACCCCGCTCTGACCGCGTCCCCGCGCCGCCAGCCCGTGCGGCCCCGGTCGCAGGTTCCCAGGGACGCCGGGCGGGGCAAGCCGGGGCGCCCCCTCCCCAGGATCTCGGTCAAGCGCCGCGTTCAGACAAAGGGGCGGGAGATGGAGACGGAGACGCTTCCGTGACAGCGCCCGGAGGCCGAGGAGGAGGAGCAGGAGGACGAGGCGCTTCGGGGTCCGGCGGCGCGGCCCCAGGTCCGAGCGCTCACCGGCGGCACGCGCGGGAGCGCAGGGCCCTGGCGGGAGGCGCCCGGCCAGCAGTCCCACGGAGCGCCCGTTCCGGGCCGGGACCCCGGCCGCACGCTCGCTCGTCCCCGGCCGGCCTCGCGGGGGCTCGGCTGCTCCGTCGCGCTCCGGGGGCGCCCGCGCCGCCCCCGGCCGGCCGCGGTGCAGCGCCAGAGTGTGCCATCGGGCGGGCGCGGGGGCGGCGTCTGCTCCCACCCTCGAGATCACATGGTGACCCTCGGCAGCCAATGCAGTGGACGCTAGGACCCTGCGGGACCCCGGGCGCCGCGACTGCACCGGCGCCGCTGCATTATAAATACTTCTCCAAAATGCGGCGCAGCTCCCTGCGCGCGCCCCGGCCGCCCGCCGCNCCCGCCCGCGCCGGGCCCCCAGGCTCTCGGCGGCGCCGGGGGCGCGGAGCCGGCCGAGGGGCGCGGCGTGTACATCCGCGAGTTCCGCGCGGCGGAGCAGGAGGCTGCGCGCCGCATCTTCTACGACGGCATCATGGAGCGCATCCCCAACACGGCCTTCCGCGGCCTGCGGCAGCACCCGCGCGCACAGCTGCTCTACGCCCTGCTGGCCGGTCAGTGCGCGGGGCCCCGGCGGGGCGGCGGGGCCCGGGCCGCGGGGCGCACTCCGGCCCGCCGCAGTCCGTGCCCGCCCGGCCCTCTGGGGACGCGCACGGGGCTCCCTCCGATCCTGTCGCCCCCCACCACCCAGCCTTGGCCCTGGGCCTCGTCCCGGGAGGGAGGCGGACCCTTGCCTGCGCCTCGGACGCGCACGTTCTGCGGCGGCCCTGGGGCGAGGTGGCCCCCGGCGCTGGGGTCGATCCGGGCTCCCGGCCAAGGCGCGCGGGGCGGGGGCGTGGGAACCGGTGCGGGCCGGGTGCAGGGGCTGCGGGCGGGAAGGACTGGGGTCTCCACCGGCGTCCCCTCCCCGGTCATCCCAGTTGGAGGCGGGGGAGGGGGGGGCGGCAGGTAGCGCCCGCCGCCGAGGCCCCGCGCCCGGCGCGTGTAACTATATATAATCCGCCGGGCGGGGGAGGTTGCCTCGCCGGCTCCAAGTGCTAATTTATGAGGGGCAGGCAGCCAGCTCCCCGGGGTGCCGGGCGGAGGGAGCACGCTGAGGAGGCGGGGCGAGGGGCGGTGGGCCTGACGCGGGCGCCCCCGCGGGGGGCTTTGAGGCTTGGCCCCTTGAGGCCTTGCAGTGGGAGGGCGGTTCTCCCCATTTCGTAGATGTGGAGCTTGAGGCTGGGCGGGCGGGACTTCCCAAGGTCACGCAGCAGAGGCCTTCCACCGCAGGCACGTCTGCCTCCGAGAGCAGGAGGCCCAGTTCGGCCTTCCTCCCTGGCCCCTGTCCTCACGACGCCCGGAGGCCGGCCCTGAGGTTCTTGGCTGGGGTGGGGCCCCTCAAGTTCCCGAGAGAGACGGTGCCTGGCCTGCCGGCTCTTTGACTTCCCCCAGCCTCACGTGGGCCAGGATATGGGCAGAGTGCCCTTCCCCAGTTAAGGGTCCGGGTGATGGGCAGGGCGGGCAGGGCCCCCCTTCTGTAGTCATGCCCTGACCTGTGCTCGCCAGCGGTTGAGGGCAGCCTGCCAGAGGCCGCTGCTGTGCCCAGGACACTTGGAAGTCGTGATGTCAGGTGTGACGGCATGGCGTCCTCAGGGCCGAGAAGTTTGCCATCAGGGCCGAGTGGAAGCGGCAGCTGTGCTGGCCTTTACTCTTCCAGAGAAAACGGGCCGGGCTGTGGGCTTGGGGTCTCCTCTGCCCACGGCGCCGGTGGTTGTCGACCGGGGGCCAGTGCGGTGCTGGGCTCAGGCGGGCCGCAGGCGCTGCCCCAGCGGGCACTCAGTGCGCCCTCTCCCCGCAGCGCTCTGCTTCGCCCTGACGCGCTCCCTCCTGCTGACCTGCCTGGTGCCCGCGGGGCTGCTGGCCCTGCGCTATTACTACAGCCGGAAGGTGGTCCTCGCCTACCTGGACTGCGCGCTGCACACGGACATGGCCGACATTGAGCAGTACTACATGAAGCCCCCCGGTGAGGCTCTAGCCGCCCCCCGCCCCCCAGGCCTTCCTCCCGGCAGAGCCCCCCCCGCCCCAGCAGCCTCCGGTGGGCCGGGGCCAGGGGCTGGGCGCCCGGTGAAGTGAGCCTCCTGGGGACGAGGGTGCTGGCCGAGGGGTGGGGTGCTGCGCGCTGTCAGGGCCGGGCTGGCAGGACTGGGTCCTCCTCCCGGAGCGTCGCCAGCTTCCGTCCTGTGTCCTCTGAGGGCCGGGCGCCGGTGGCCCGAGCTGGCCCTGGGCCACGCTGACCCGCCCTGCTTCTCGGGCTGCCACTGCCCGTCGCCTGGCACCTGTCTCACCCCCCAGGGGCCCTTTCAGTGTGTCTTGTGGGTCCCAGGCTGGCCCAGAACGCTGGGGCCCTGAGTGGCAGGAAAGGGGACCGCACGGTGGGGGTGAGAACCCTAGGAGAACAGGGGTCTCACGTCACGGCTTCCACTTCTGGTCCCTGGGCCACTTAACTAATCCCAGGGTCTCGCCCCGGCCCTGACTTTCTGTAGACGGAGGGGCTGGCACCTGCTCTGGAGCCATCCCCTCCAGGGAGTTTATGCTCCAGGCTGGCCTGGGGGCAGGGGCAGGCTTTTCTCCGTGCCTGGAGTTGGGGCATGAGGGTCCCCCAGGTGCAGGAAGGTCTGTGTGGAGAGGGGCCCGAACGGCTGGTGAGGGTCTAGTAGGACCCTGGCGGGTGGCAGGGAGGGGCAGCCGGGCTAGGGAAAGCAAGGTTCCTAGGGCCGGGCTGACCTGCCTGGCGGGACCAGCTCCGGGCCATGGCGGCAGGTCCATTCCCAGCCCCGAAGCCGCCTGGCAGACCTTGGGCACCCTCGGTTCTGTGTTACCCTCTCCCAAGTCCAAACAAAGCATCTTATCAGCATATTCAGCCCAACTCTGCCCAGGATGGGAGGGGCCTTGCACCAAAGCCTGGAATTGCCCACCCTCTCTGGGGCGCAGTCCTCCTGGAGGTGAGATCAGGTGGGCGGAGACAGCTGGGGGGTCTACAGGAAGACCCCGCGGGGGCAGGGAGGCTGGACGGCGGCCAATCGGGCGCGCTGGGGCTTGTGGGGGCTGCTTCTGCTTTGGGGAAACTGAGTCTGTGCTGACCTCTGACCCAGGGGAGAGCCCAAGCCTGTGGCCATTGGGCAGGTCAGTGGGCGCGGGGGCGGGGGGTGGGGGGAGCGGTCATTCCCAAGCTCTGGCTGCGAGAAAGGCCAGGACAGGGGGTGTGCTGGGGAAGCAGGCGGGGGGGACCCTCAGGTGTCAAGCAGACGGGAGAAGAGTGTCTTCCCGGTGGAGTCATGTGAAGGCACTTTAGGGAGAGGACGTGGCAGTGGGGGCTGGTGTGGCCATGGGTAGGGCGTGCGCAGGCAGGCTCCCTGGAGTGGGCACCACCCCGGCTTAACCTCCTGGATCCCCTGGGCCTCGGGTCACTGGAGGAGATGGCTCTCCCTGTGGCCAGCGCCCTCAGGCCTCTCCCCTCCCATCTTTATCCCTCTGACCCTCCTGTGCCTCTCAGCTCCCCAGAGGTCGCCCCCCTCCTGCCCTGCCCAGAACTGCGGAAGGTCTGGGCGGGGCCTGGGGGCAGGGTGGCGGGCAGGTTGGGCCCGGCGCTTGGCCCAGAGGGGCCCTGCGGGCCGGCTGACACGCGGCGGTGCCCGTGGCCCTGACTCCTCCCTGTTCCCCGCAGGCTCCTGCTTCTGGGTGGCCGTGCTGGATGGCAACGTGGTGGGCATCGTGGCGGCGCGGGCCCACGCGGCAGACAACACGGTGGAGCTGCTGCGCATGTCCGTGGACTCGCGTTTCCGCGGCAAGGGCATCGCCAAGGCGCTGGGCCGCAAGGTGCTGGAGTTCGCCCTGGTGCACAACTACTCCGCGGTGGTGTTGGGCACCACGGCTGTCAAGGTGGCCGCCCACAAGCTCTACGAGTCGCTGGGCTTCAGACACATGGGCTCAAGTGACCGCTACGTGATGCCCGGCATGACCCTCTCGCTGGCCGAGCGCCTCTTCTTCCAGGTCCGCTACCACCGTTACCGCCTGCAGCTGCGCGAGGAGTGACTGCCGTCCGCCCGCCGCCCCGCCCCGCCCGCCCGCCTGTGCCCGCCCCACCCGCCGCCCGGGCCGCTTTCAGACGCTCACCTTGGCGTGTGTGTTGGGCGTCTCCCTTTTCAACACCACACGGTTCCTTGGCTGGTTCCTGGGGGATGCCGGGCCGGTGTGCATCGGTGACACGTGGGAAGGTGGGTGGTCCCTCCAGCCACACCCCCCGCCCTCCCTGGGTCGGGCCACGCCCTGAAGAGTGACAGTGTGGGCCGCCGTGAGCCCACGCAGCTGGTGGCCCCGGCCGGAGCGCCCCCTCACGCTTAGCTCTGAGGTGGCGAGGGGCCCCGTCTTGCCCACCAAGCACAGAGCCTCTGGGGTGAGGCCCCCCCGCGCCCAGCAGACCCCTGGCCGGCAGTGGGGCGGGGCTCGGCCGCCCGCCCCCAGTGGGCGTGGCCTGCCGCCCCCCTGGGGCGCCGGGCTGCCCTGGCCGCTTTGCTCCGCTCTGTGCATGCCGAGGATGTGGCCTGGCTGCAGCATGCTGCATGCCCGCAGCCCCTGCCCCCGCCCCGCCAAGACTGGACCCAGACTGGTGAGCGCCCCGGCCCCCGCCCCGCTCTCTGGAGCCCTGCTGTCCACCTCGCCCCTCGCTTCCCCCAGTCCAGCTCTGCTTCGACGTCGGATCACCCCCTTTCCTTTCGGTACCTGCCCCTCCTCTGCCCGGGCTTTGCTGATTGGCGTCGTCATCCAGGTGTGGTTCCCATAGCGACGTGTGGCCCCGCATTGCTCAGGGCCCTCTGGGAGGGCAGGGTGGAGGCGGCTGGGGGGGTCCCCGGTCCCCCAGGGCCAGCTCGATAGGGCTTGGTGGCCGCTCCCGGACCCACTGGGGACTTCCTGCCCCGGGGCAGCCGGGCTCTGTCCTGTGAATCTTGACCAACCCAGGCTGCCGCCCGCACCACCGAGCCCGTAGCTTCTCCCAGCCTGAAGCCGACCTATTTTTTAATAAGTTATTTAGACAGAATAGCACTCTGCATGACTTTAACTCTTGGGACAAAATGGTAGTTGATACCTACACACATACACACACACACACCTGTGTGGTCTAGAATATGCACTGTTTCCGGCCCAGTTTGGTGGGGGTGGGTGCCGGGGGGTGGAGGGTTGGTTTGGAGTCTGGAGGGAGACCCTGACTGAACGTCGTTTCCGTCCTGAGGGCACTCCAGGTGGGCGCGGGCGGGAGCAGTTTGCCAGCAGCGTCCAGTGTAGGAGCGGGGCGCCTTCGGGGTGCTCAACCCCTGCCCCAGGTCGCAGGCAGGGGCTTTTGGGAGCAGGGGTGGCCCAGAGCAGGGGAGGAAGGTGGTGGCTGGAGGGGCATAGAGGCCCACCGAGACCCCTTGCTTTGGGGGGGCGGGGAGTGGCAGGCGGCGTGGGCCACTGACCTGGGCCCCACATGCGGGGCCCTGGAGGGCGCGTCCTCAGAGGCACTTTGAGCGGGCCGCGCCTGGCCTCCCGAGGGGCCCTGGGTACTGTGAGCGGCTGAGATAACTTGCAGAACATTGTACAGACCCCGCGCTCCCCTGTACATTCTCCCCGGTGGTGCCCGGCCCCCGTCGGGGGTGGGAGTTTTGTAGACTGTACAGAAATCGGCCCCCTATTTTCTTGCAGCTCTCAGATTTTGTTAATCTGGATAATACAGACAGACGTAAAGTGTTTTAGCAAAACGGAAAACAAAGCTGTGCCTTTTTCCTCTCTCTGTTGGGTTTGGTGTCGGCTCGGGGTGGCCTTAGGTGGCGAGGGGTGTGGTGGGGCTGCGGCCGGCCTGGGGCCTGGCGGGTCGTGTCCTTGTTCGGTGGCGGCTCCGGGACGCCGCGGGCTTCCTCCCACCCTGTGCCTTTGGGGCCCCTGTCCCCAGTGGGGGCGCGGGCGCGGGGGGCCCTCAGCATCTGTTGGTGTGGACTGGAGCACCTTGAGGGGGTCCCTCCTGGCAGGGGTGTGACCCCCCCCCCGTCCCCTGCTGTTTAGGCCCCCGTCCACCCCTGCGGATGGCCCGGAGGGTGCTGGGCACAGGCTGGGCCCGCAGCCTCCCCTCATGCCCTTTGTTGCTGCCAGGACGGACGCCAGGAGGGGTGTGGCAGGGTGGCCGCATGTCCGGAACGCTGCTGTCCAGCTGCCGCCCGGCCCTGAGGTGGGCAGAGGTGCCCATGTACCCCAGGCTGGGTGCGTGCTGAGCCTGGGTCGGGACTCCTGCCCGGTCAGCGTGCGGCCTGGGCTCCTGGGGGCAGGTGTTCCAGCCTCCCCTCAGCCTGGGAGCTAACTGCTCCACAACCATGCACTGCGTTGTGAGTTTTATACCTTTGTAGAAATCCTGATGTCACTTCTACCTCTGTGAAGCGTGCCCCTGGGGTCCTGCCTTGGGGTGTGTCTGGGCAGCTTCTCTGTGTGGGGCGGCCCTGGGCCCCTCCGTGCTCAGGGGCCCAGCTTCCAGACAGCAGAAGCGGGAGGCGGAGCCTGAGCACGTCTTTGCCTGGAGCACCGGCCCAATGGGCCCGTCCGGGTCTTGGGACCCAGGGTGGCTGAGGCTCCAGCACTGCTGGAAGGCCCAGCGTCCTGGCCCGTGACTGGCAGGCCTTGCCCGGGTAAAGGCTCTTCAGGCAGCTGGTCCCGAAGGGCGGGCAGCCAGAACGGGTGGTGGGCGTGTGTTGGGGCCAGCCGGGTGGTCTGGCCCCACGCAGGGCCGAGGTGGTGTCCCCCCAGTCCCTCCATCTGTGTTGGGGCTGGCCCAGGGCGGGGGTGGGGTGGATGGATGAGGGGCTTGGACCGGGAGGCCACGTGGTCCCGGGGCCCCCATCCTGCTCTGGAGGTCCTTTCTCAGAGATGGTCCTCGGGGGGTGAGGGGCTCCTTCGTGTCTGGCAAGGGCTTGGCGGCCCTCTGGGCCCCCGGCCTGGCTCTGGCCTCCGGGGGGCATGCTGGAAGTATGGATGCAAGCGTCTGCCTGCCCTTGGGGGCTGTCGCTGTCGGGGGCTGCTGGACCGTGGCCCCGGGCCCTCCCTGGCGCGTGCCATGTGTCACCTCTGCTCCCATGTCTCCGAAGCCACTGCTTCAGCCCCTGAACCTGAGCTGGTGGCCCTGGGGACTTTTGGGGGTTGAGTTCTGGGCCGGGTGCGGGCAGACCCTGGGCTGCGTTTGCTCGGGCTGCCTCGGCGGCATGAGGCTCGCTCATGCCCAGTGTTGGATGTGGTTTTTTAACAGCAATAATCAGCCACTTCGGAGAAGGGGTGTGCCTGTATGTGTGCGTGTGTGCCTGTGGGTAGGTGCACATACGTGTGCCTGTGTGTGTGTGCACGTGTGCAGGGGGAGAGCCTGGTGTCTGAGGGCCCTGGGGGGCTGGGGGTGCTTGGCCGGGGCGGGCTGGCCCCGCGGCCTCGTCCGCTCTCCTCCGGCCCAGCCGGCCTGGGTCCCAGCCCTCTCCTGGGCTGAGGCTGCTGGATGGGTCCGCGTGCAGCAGGGGTGCCTGGGGTGAGCTTTTGCCCAGGGTGCTGGCACTGTGGGGAGGGTGGCCAGGGCAGGGACGCTTGGTGACACTCTGCGGGCTGGAGGAGGTCAGATCTGGGGACAGGGGGCCCCCGGGCCAGGCCATCGGACCACGGCGGCCCCGGGCGGGCTACCACCACTGAGTCCACCGTCTGTGTGCCCAGGATGTGCTCAGCGGCCTGCGGGAGGGCCCCGAGGGGCGCCGAGTCCCGGGGGCGCGGGCTGCCGGGCGGGGGGGTCCCTGGCCCCCTGTGCATGTGTGAGCCGTGGGAGGGGCTGCAGCCACTGCCCTGCGCCTGCCCGGCCCCCGATGCTGCTGTTTTTCAATAAAACCCGAGCTGATGGAATCGGGCTCTGTGCTTTCTTGCTGTGTCCTCTGTGTAACACCGGGCCCGGAAGGGCTCCTCCCTGAGGTGCTGGGTATCCCCTTGACCCCGGGGCGGGGGTGGTGGTAGGGTGACCTGTGGGCGGGGGGCCCCCTGTTCCTGTGTCTGCAACCCCGACCTGGCCACCCTGCCCGCTTGCATCTGCCTGCCTGTCTGATGCTCCTTGGAGCTGTGGGCTCACCGGATGGGGTGGGTGGGAGGGCAATGGGACCCCCAGGTCCTGTAAAGAAGGGCCGTGGTGGGGGTTGGGGTGTTAGCCAGGGACGTGGGCGCTGAGACCCCGGGGGGAGGCAACCAGCATGCCCCGGGGCTGCTGAAGCCCACCCAGTGTGATGGCCCCCAGGCGGGCCTTGCTCTGGCTGCCCCCTCCTGCTGGGGCCACATTCCGGGTGGGGGTGTGCCCTCTTCTCTGAGTCTGACTGGGTCCCACCTGCCCTGCGGGGCTGCCTGCACACAGGGGCCCCGCCCTGCCCCGGGAAGGCACTCCCAGGATGGTCGCTGGTCTGCGCGAGGTCCTCACGAGAAGAGGCAGTGATCTCTGCCTTTGTGGTGACGGCATGAACACAGGACATCGCTCAGACATTGACACCAGCCAGACGCAGTGGTGTGGGGGGGCCCCGCGCCCCCCGCCAGGGGCAGGCCCGGCCGTCAGGCCCTGCACGCCCCGGGAGACCGGCGACAACGATTTGAAGCCGTGAGGGGAACGGGCCTGGGCACGGTGAGTGGCTACGACCCCGTCACCCGGAAGAGTGAGGCCACGTCCCACGGGCTTGAGTTGCCGTAAGGCTGGGGGCCGGGCTGGGGCAGGGGGCCTGCTCCCCTCCTGGAGGGGCTCCCTCAGCCCTGCTGGCCTGCCCTGCCCGGCGAGCACCATGCCTCCCTTGGAGGTGGCTCGCGGAGCTGGGACCCAGACCAGGATGCAGGGGCGAGGCCCTGGGGTGAGCCGGGGCGGGGCAGGCCTGCTGGGGCCCCGTCCGGTGAGGCGACCTCTCCAGCCGCAGTGTCCCTGCCGTCCAAGGGGGCAGCTCTGTCTCAGGCCGCAGAGAGGCTCTGGGGTGCTCAGGCCAGACCCTCTCTCGGGCCTGGGGTGTCTGTGAGAAGCGCTGCCGAGCGCCTGGGCACAGGCCCCTCCGGCCCTCAGGAGGGTGGTCGGGCCGTGCTCTCCGCCCAGAGCACCGCCACCCGCAGGCTGGCACAGGGGCCTCTGGGAGCCAGGCTGCTAGCTGCTCCCGGCTCCTGCGAGATGCGGAGCAGCTGCCTGGTGGGGGGGACCCAGAGTGGCAGAGGCGCTCGTCCTGACCAGTTTCCTACCCATGGGAAGGATTCACACAGACAGGTGAGGACAGCTCCTTGAGAAGCGTTTA